TTTGCTGTCGGTGCTACTCTCCACAGTGGACAAGCCAGGGGAAGCATTTGGCCCCCTCCTCAGGGCTCTCTGTTCTTTAGCACTTTCCTCTATTGCCATGCACTTTCACCGTCTCAGAGTCAAAGAGGTCCAGGGCCACTCTCAGGTGGAGAAAATGAGAAACAGAACGAAAGCTAACCACCCCGCTGCACGTACAATATTCGTTTCGTTGTCAGAGGCCAGCTGGCGTCAACAGCAGCTGTTTCGTGCACCAAGTTCCCACTCGGTTGGACAACCTCCGCAGCGAAAGTCAGGAATACTCCTCGTCAGGGACTTCGAGCGACCCCACGTATGTACTCTCACAGTTTGCACACGGGTGCTACAGGTAAAGGGAGTCAGAAGGTACAAACTTGCAGTTATAAGGGCTGGGGATGTCATGTGTAGCGCAGTGACTACAGTTCACAATGCTACACTGTGTATCTGAAAGTTGTTAAGAGAGTAGATCTTAAAGTTCCCATCACAAGGGAAAAAACTGTTTAACTGTGAGGTTGATGGATATTAAAGCTATTGCAGTGATCACTTCACAATATACCCATAAATCATTATGTTGTATAACTAAAACAAAGTCCTCTGCTAATTTCATCTCATTAAAACTGGAAAAAAAAAAAGGGAGGGGGCGCTCAGGAATTTTAATTTCATTAAACAGATGAGAAAACCAAGAAAGAAACTCATAGCAGAGGCAAAGTCAGAAGCTGGCATAGGTCTCATTGGTCAGGACAGTGTGGTTGACTCTACTGTTCTTTTCCCTCTATGCTTTGGCTTGCTGGTACCTCCTGATGGCAGAATACTATCAGCTGCTACCAGTCCACCGAACATGTCTGCCTGCATTTCGTCATTTCTGCTTCTCCCGTTTAGTTCCTTTTCATGGCCCACATTCAGCCAAGAAAACACAGGAAAGAGGGAGCTTCGTCTCCCACATCCACCACCCACCAGCATCATGACTTCAATATTCCCTGCATATTCCTGAGCCGGTCAGAGCCATACCACGTGCTGCGCACTGAAGATTACAGAATTTGGGAGTTGCACGTAAGAGAAAAAGAATATCAAAGACTGCAAACATTCTTTAAAGAGAAATGAGAATTTGCAAGGGTCTAGCAACAGTCATGGCTTTTAAGGCCATTAAAAAAAAAAACTTTCATATTTTAAAATAACTGAATGAGGTCCTTTCTAGATTTTTTGCAATAAATCTGCTAGTCCCACAGAGCATGCATTAAAATCTTTCTGACCTATCTCATTCTAGTACTTAGAAATCTGGATTGAGTGAACAGTATATAGAAGATGACAGTTTCCAAGTTACCTTGGTTATATCTGTTTTGTACTCATAGCGCCCTTCTAAGGATGATCACAGCAGGTTTGGAATTTCGTGGCCACTGAAACACTCATCTCTCGCCTCCCCCCCAACCTGGGCAGTTCTAGCTGCATGGTATCCCCCCTCGGCCCTCTGAGATCATGACACATTCTTCTCTTCTACCCAGTCCTACTGCTGCCTCAGCCCCTACGCTGCCTCGAAGATGGGATTTGGGAAGCCTTCTGTTCTGCAGTGGACGAGATGTTTTCTTGTTGTCATGACAGCGAGAGTCTAGAATGAAAGGAGGTCAAGTGCTTGCCAGTAGGTACATACCAGCTTTTTACATGGGAACCTGCCCCCTAATTCCGCTTTTGCTCCAGTCTTCTTTTCATCTACCTGTCATCTAAAACTGCAACTATCACAAGCTGAATTTAGCATAGATTCTAATGGAAACAGGCTTAGAGATCCTAAAGTATAACACTTCCTAAAGTATGTTCTGTAGAATGCCACCCCTGCAAGGTGCGCTCCGAAAAAGGCTCAACGGCCAGATGAACTTGGGGGACAGGACGCACTGTACCCCCTCCCGGCATCTGAGCGTATTAAAGGAGCAGCAGTGTCCCTTTGTAAGGGAACGATGTTCAACTCTCTTGGTAGATTTGTGGGGGCACTTGGGCCTCCCTTCCCAGACCACAAGATTTCTGTGGGAAAATACTTTGAATTTCAAATCTAACTCTCCATAAGCTGGAAGTGTTCTAGACACCACTGACTTTTCTCAATGATAGCAGATATTCATAACAACATATTTAGACCTGTAAACAAGGGTTAAAGCAGCAATAATTTTGCAATGAAAATGTATATGTATGCATGCATATCAGCTAAAAGATAAAATGGATACTTAAGGCATTCTTCTTTCTTCCTTTCTTTTCCTTTTTTCTTTTTTTTTTCTTTTTTCTTTTCCTTTCCTTTTCTTTTTTTTTTTTTCTTTCTTTTTTTGCCATTTGGGCAACCTAGGAGAATGACTCATATCAAAAAAATTTTAAAGCTTCAAGACTAGACTGAATATCGAACTGCCCTATGTAAAGGTACAAAATCTACACTCAAAAAGGGTTCTTTTGTTGTTTTTTTTTTTTTTTTTTGGTGCAGCAAAGCTGGTTGAATCTCAAAATTGCTCAAAGGCTGGTCAAGGCTGATGGCCTCTGTTGCTATTTTTGAAGTCAGACAAACTGTGTTCACCTAGAGAGGATTAAAATGGTGGATTTGTGGTATATGATGAAAATCCTTCCGAGCGGATACCAGAATCCTAAGCCTGTGGAGGTCTACCATAAATCAAACATCTGGGTGGAAAGATAAAAGATGAGGCAATATTCTACATGCTTCCAAATGTATCAAGGACATCATGTTGATCCTAAAACTAAACAGTTGATTATTTTTTCCCCACATTTTGCCTCAGTATCCTGGAATCACACATACATTGCTAAAAACTCAAGGGGGCCTATGGCCCACAGGAATCATTTTTAGTTTGAAAATAGGATATTGTTTGGGGTATGATTATAAAGGCCAGTTATATATTACTTTAAAAACCAACTTACAGAGAAATGCTGCAGTAGTCAGTGAAAAGCTGGAATTCATCCTGAAGGCTATCACAATATGAACCCTGGCATTCAGTGCAAACACTGTATGGAGGCAATACGCCATTCTAAGGCCTGCAGAGTCAATATTTTCTTTCTCTTGTTTCTGTTTTATTTATTTATTACTTCTATTTTTTTTCCAGTTCTTTTATAAGAGCAGTGGGAAAACTCTGGATCATAAACACACTTGTGGCAGGTCTATGTTACGGCGTTTAGCAGGAAGAGGACCGGGCTGCCAACCGTGCTGTCAGTAGGCAAAGAGAGGGAAGAGGTAGGGAAGGAGCGAACATCAAACCCCTGTTATTTATGAGGCATTCTCCACATGTTCCTTCATTTTAATCCTGATGAAAACCCACGAGGTACACGTCCCTGTACCTGGTTTATAGACAAAGGAAGTCAAGACTCAGGAAAGTCCTGCAACTCGTCCAAGACTAGGGCGCAGGAAGCAGAGCTGGGGTGTGAACTCTGATCTGCCCATTCTATGACACTAACCCAACTGCCTCAGTGAAAGGTGTTCCACGCAAACCAAAATCCATGTGGAGAGAACGGAATTTTGCGCTTACAGAAACAATGGCATTTCTCAAGAATGGGGAGTTATATTTAAGGCACTAGAAACCTAATGCTGACATGACCTTAATCAACACCATGGATCTCAAGCAAACAGACACAACCAGATATTCGAAGCAGCTTTCGTGGGTTTTGCTTTTTTGTTCTTACTATTACTCCATACCACTTTTATATTATTTTTCACATACCTACCCAAATAGAAGGGATTTTTTTTTTAAAGGCACATGAACATTCTTTCCTGTTTTCATTCTGCCAAAACTGAAAGAGATGAGCCACCTGCAGCATGATACAAATGCTCTGGGCATGAGCCTAATGGACCTTAGAATGGTGTGTATTTTGGATTATGGGAATCTTTGGTCCTTGGGTATTAGCCAGAGCTGACAAAGACTGCTCCAAGAAGTTTCAACCCATGACACTGAACTGTGGGCTGGCCTTCTAAGAACACATTATATTGCACTTACTGTGTAATTCTTCAAATATGTATATTTCTGTTTTTTTTTTTTAAAGATTTTATTTATTTATTTGACAGACAGAGATCACAAGTAGGTAGAGAGGCAGGCAGAGAGAGAGAGGAAGGGAAGCAGGCACCCTGCTGAGCAGAGAGCCCGATGTGGGGCTCCATCCCAGGACCCTGGGATCATGACCTGAGCCGAAGGCAGATGCTTTAACCCATTGAGCCACCCAGGCGCCCCCAAATATGTATATTTCAAACTCACTGGAGAGCAGTACATTTTAATAATTCTTCTGATTACAAATTATTTCATGGTTGCAACCATATGTGTTCTATCTGCTTCAAATACAGAATGCCCAATGTACTGTATTAGAAATACTGTCAAGCATTCATACCACATTGAGGGTATCTATCTACCTATCTTCAAGGAACACTTGTTCTCTAGAATTGCTTTCATTTCTCGTGTCTGTAATAAAGGGCTAATATTCAGACTAATGACAAACAGGACCATAAGTGTGTAATACTGTAAGTATGTCATTACGAGACTAACTTCTGAATAAGCAAATAGACCAAACCTTGGTGTTCCCAATTATTTTTTGTAGGTGTCTAATTTGTTTGACTACCTTTCAATAGAGAAGACCACAAATCATGATTGAGGCACTGAAATTATTTTTCTTTCCAACAAACCTAGATGGCTACACCCTACTATTTAGAAGTGGCCGCCAGAGAAACCAATAGGCATTACTATGCTTTGGTACCAAAGGAAGACAGGATTTGTCAAATCTGAAAAGTGAAGTTAATAGTTGAGCAACAGCAATTCGGACACCAAGTAGAAGCAGGGTTCTAAATTTAATGGATGAGTGACAATAGCGAAAAAGCTCAGGGAAACCGAGTCTGCAAAATGTCCTACCTCAGGCATACTTTAACACTCGAGAGACAAGCCAAGTATCTTAACTGTAAGTTAAGCTTTCAACAAACTGCAGGTAAATTTGGGGAAATGTTTTATCTGTCCAAAGACAGTACTCACCACATCAAAGGCAGTAAACACGTGACAGTAGTGGTGATTGGACTTCAAATCTTTTGTGATATAAGCAAACGTTGAGAGGTCTTCCGGGTCCTGGGCAGCACAGGAGATATTACGAATTTCATGCTCAGCAATTATGTTCTGGAATAAATGAAATAAATGACGGTTGTTTTCCTTTGCAAACCAGCATATTTTAGAACCAAGGCAAGTGACTTGGGAATCAGTTGCATTCCCCCTTTCCAGAATGTTCTAGACCAGCAACATTCAAAGTGACACAACAGGCTACCTGTGGGCAAAAATATACCAGGTCTGGAAGGAATGTTTTCATTTAATTAAAAACAACTTAAGGTAGTCATATCCTGTAGCAGTGGTTCTCACCAGGTGCTGTGAGCAGAAGCACTCTGGGTGGCAGACACGCTTTTTTTAAAAAACAGTAGTTACTAAGCATTTTATGGTTTTCGTTCCCCATATACACCTATAGATAGGCACTGCTGCCTCCTGCTAATTCTGTCTGGAAAGGATCATCTGTCATACTCTGCATGAGGGGAGAAACTCTGTCTCAAGGAGCTCTCTAAGCCCTTACCCATCTCGCTCCCCACTTCCTGTGCTCCCCACTCCCCACTGCCCCAGAGCAAAGACAGGTATAGAAGGAAGTGGGCAGCTGGAAGCATCAAGGTGCTCGCTCATTAAAACAGTTTTTTAAAGGATAGTTGACACTTAATGTTACATTAGTTTCAGATGTACAATAGAGTGATTCGACGTCTGTATGTTATGCTAGGCTCACTGCAAGCGTAGCTGCCATCTGTCACCACGGAATGCTGTTACAGTGTCACTGACTACATTCCCTCGTCTGTGCCTTTTATTCCCAGGACCTATTCACTCCATAACTGGAAGCCTGTATCTTCCACACCCCTTCACCCATTTTGCCCATCCTCCCACCCCCTTCCCTCTGAAAACCCTGTTTGTTCTCCATATTTATAGGTCTGATTCTGTTTTTTGTTTATTCATTTGTTTTTTAAGTTCCACACGAGTGAAATCCTATGGTATTTGTCTTTTTTGATCTTACTTCACTTAGCATAATACCCTCCAGGTCCTTCTGTGTTGTTGCAAATGACAAGATCTCATCCTTTTTATGGCTGTGCAACACCGTATTGTGGATGTGTACACATGTAGTACATGCACACTTTATCCATTCACCTTCTTTATCCATTCACCTATCTTTAGAGCCTCAGGTTGCTTCCATACCTTGGCTATTGTAAATAAGGCTACAATAAACATAGGGGTGCATGTATCCCTTTGAATTAGTGTTTTGGTTTTCTTCGGCTAAATACCCAGTAGTGGAACTAATGGATCAGATGGTAGTTCTATTTCTAACTTTTTGAAGAACCTCCGTACTGTTTTCCATAGTGGCTGCACCAGTTTGCATCCCCACCAGCAGTTCAAGGCGCTCGCTCTTGCAGACTCTGTGGAGGCTGAGGAGGAGAGGTGGGATGAGGGAAACAAGCGCTCTGCATCCTTCAGGTCTGTGAGCCAGGTTATGGGCTCTCATCAGACACTGAATCTGCTGGTGACTTGACCTTGGACTTCCCAGCCTCCAGAACTGTAGGAAATAAATGCTTATTATTTAAGCCACCCAGTCTGGTCATCTGTTAGAGCAGCCAAAACGGACTAAGACATCCTTCCTGTCTTTCTTGCCCTTCCCCTCATTTTCTGGAATCTCCCACTTCTCTATCCCCAGGAGCCCAGGGCTGTCTTTTAGCTGCCCTCCTCTGTGTTGCTCCATGTTTCCAAATCAGCCTCCCCTCCCTCTACTAAAATTTTTATTCCTCTCTTGCTGTGGTCCAGAGGGAAGGCAGGCTAACAAATGTATTCTATATTCAGTTAAGAATAACTGATGTGTAATCATCCTAACTGTTGTATGCAGTTAAGTGAGTTCGTATCGATAGCCTATGTAAAGAAGCACTTTTGAACAGAACTTCCTGATCTACCCATGGGGCTGGAATGTGATGAAGCCCTGAGAGCTTGCCCTCCCTCTGCACTATCTTCCCAGAACAGCGAGGCCAGCTCTCCATGCGGAAGGTGCGTCCGAGACCAAGGACACTACAGCTGGAGACTGGACGGTTGGTTTCCTCCTTAGAGAAGATGTCAAGGAGGAACTCATTCTTTCTACCATCTGCCACGCATCAGTTAGTGGCTCCTCCATAAATTAACGGTGGATGTCCACATAAGGAACAGGTGATGCATCTTCGTTTAAAACAGACTCCACTTCTGTTGCTCAGCCTCCATATCTAGGCATATTCTAAGGAGACTAGAGCTTTTAAAAGGCTCAAAACAAAGAGGGAGGAGGGGCTCATGCCACCCCTTCTTTGGGATGGAAAGTTTGGCAGCTCAGTACTTGCAACAGGGACAGACTGTTTTTCTTGTCTTTTGCCTTTCATCATGTTGAGAAACAGCTAAACAGGGGCCTGCCTTGTGGGTATAGAGTACAAGTGTGTGGTCCAGCCAGTTAATAGAGAGGTTCTCAGAAGGGTGTGTGATGCAAAGTGTGGGGCCCAGGAGTCAGCCTCTCCCCGTTTCCCTTACTCTTGGCTCTGCCAGGCAGGGCCTTTCTCCTGAGTCCCCCTCCTCAGGCCAGGCCTTCTCTGGGAGAACTTCAGAGAAAGCACCCGAAACAGAGGCAGCAGCCCCAGCTAAGGGCTGCCTGGAGGGGACCCGTGGAGAGGCTGATGCAGATGAGAACAGCACACATGCTTAATGGGCTCTTAATTTGACTCTGAGCTTTTTGGAAAGAGAAGTATGTGCTATTAAAAAAAAAAGAAGAAGAAGAAAAAGAGCGAGCACTTGTTTAAGCAAATGTTCTGAATTATTTTGTGCTTAAAAAAACAGCCTAAGCCCTGTTTGAAGTTGGCATTCAAAAAGCAAACAAACAAAAACCAAACCCCAGTGCTGCACTCTTCCTAATTTAGCTGGATGGGAAGACTGAGGAAGGGGTCAGGGCGGGCGGGAAGGCAAAATGCACGCGCCGGATGTGGGGACTGTGCCACCTCTTGCAAGACGCTGCTGGTTTGAACACAAGTCTGTATCCAAACTGTCAGAGACCTCTGGGCCGAAGGCCTCACTAGAGTTCTCTCTGGGCTGTGGATCTCCAGAAAGCTGCTGGGCCCTATCTACAACATTTTAGGACTAGGTCTGTTCCAAGTTCCATTTTGAATTCAAGACTACTTTCTGCTCTCCCTTCTTAAATCAGGACTAGTGGTTCGATTTGTTTCCTAAGTTCTAGGCAATACATTTAGAAGTTTCTATCTAGGTACCAAGCCCTTCTCCACGGAGCAGCCGAAGTCCAGGATTTCTTGGATTGAAAGGAAAGAAGTGCTTTGCTGGAGGGCTCATCTTTTCTGGCCTAACGGGTGTCACAGATACATTAGAGCAGCATACTGCAAACTGGCCGGTGGCGGTGGAGGGACAGCAGCCGTGTTTGGTTAGGGGATGGGGAGGTTGGGTCAGGGTTCAGTCCGTCCCCAGGACCAGCTGGCGGTAAGACTGCAGCGCAGTCACTTAGCAGAGGCCTGAGGCCTTCTGTTCCCGTCCCTGCACCGTCCGGTGGAACAAGCACCTCCAGCTCTCCAGAGGGAGAGAGAGCCCTGCAGCAGCCGGAGAGGGCCGTTTAGGAAGAAAGCACAGTGAAAGCATCAAATATGAATACGAAGGTGTGACTCCTGGCTCTGCCTCCTTGCAGGCTTAGCGGCCTCTAGCACCTCATCTTGTGAGGGCTTCAAATAGCCGCGCGCTCCTCAAGTCCTTCCAACCAAAGCGGCTCCCCAAGACAACGCCTCCCAGGGCAGAGGTCCCGGGGAGCAAACAGAAAGCAGGCCTCTGGAGTTCAACACTGCGCTCCTCTCCCACGGTGAGCGCTAATCCGAGGTCGGCCTTTGCTCCAGAACCGGCTGGCCTAGCGGAGCCCAGCAGGCACTGCCGGGGCCTGGCTGTCGGAGCACGGCTCCCCTCACAACACAGCCGGAGAACGGCCCTTCAACAATGCAGCCTCGAGGACTTTCGGAACCGGTCCTTCAGCCCTGGCTGGTGGTGGTGCTTCTCAGCCTTCTGCCCTCAAATCCCACCTGTGCAGCCCAATGCTCTTTCTTTCTTCTGCTGTTCTAATCCGATCTCTCTGCCTTGGCTTCTCACACACCAATGACCAGATGTGGCCCTGAGTCACCCACTCTCTCCCTATCGACTGTTCCATCGGGCTAGATCGGCCACATTGCAGACACTGGGAGGGGGACACTGTACACTTGTCAGTGTAGAAGTCGATGTCTCCCGATTCCTGAAAAAGCCATCAGGCACGTGGCATCGGAGAGAGGCTGGCTTTGCCTGCCACCAACACAGACATTTTGCCTTTGCTCTAGATTTTGCACATATGCTGAGGACCACCTCCAAGACCTCGAGAGCTATGCTGTCCTCTTTAGTGTTTCTATTCACACAGGATTATCTTCTGTGTATTGCTCAGTGCTCGCACTTCCACACAACAGCCACGGATGAGCAGGCATTTGTGGATAACTCATCTAATTATTGGCAACTAAAGCAGAAGTGTCTCCTCAAGGTATGGGAGGATCAGGTTCTGCAGCCCTTGATGTGTCCACAAGCCAAATGCAGCAGGACACGGACAGCGGATTCGAGAAGCTGCTGCTAATACAGGCCCAGCAGGTCACACCACCAGCTCCACAGAATGACAGCCTTAAGACTCTGGGCACTTTTCAGGGCAAATACCACTTGTTTAGGGGCGCCTGGGTGGCTCAGTGGGTTAAAGCCTCTGCTTTCCGCTCAGGTCATGATCCCAGAGTCCTGGGATTGAGCCCCGCATAGGGCTCTCTGCTCAGCAGGGAGCCTGCTTCTTCCTCTCTCTCTGCCTGCCTCTCTGCCTACTTGTGATCTTTGTCATATAAATAAATAAAATCTTTAAAAACAAAAACCACTTGTTTAGAAATTGTCAGAATCTAAGACTCCTGAGGTGGTTAATCTAAGGAAGTGTCAAACTCTGATACTAAAAATATATTGCTATTCATGGTTTTCAAATGCAAATAGATAGGGAGAGTTGCTCAAAGTTAGGGAAAACACCCAGATGCCAAAGCCTTTCTTGAACCTTAGAAACAGTAATGGTGTTGTCCATGAGAATTCCATAATGTTCTGAAACTTTAAAAACCAACTGACTATAATTTAAGGACAAAGAAAGTTTGTGCACCAGTAACTAAAAGTTGCTTCCAACTAATAAAGAAAGCAAATCAGTCGGGATTTTCCTGATGACGATCTCCACAGTTGTGATCATACGACAGTAATTGCCAACACCCTGTTGCCAGGTTGAAACTATCATTTCCTACAAGGCATCTGACTCCATGCTTTGGAAAGATCAGCCTGCACCGTCGTGCTGGGTTGTAAGCTTTCCGTCCAGGTTTCAGAACCATTGCTAAAACTGGGAGGTTGTTCTAAGTAGGCCCAGAGAGCCTGGGCTTGTCTGAATGCTGACAAAGCTATCTTCCCTGTTCTGTTGGATACACCAGGAAACCCCAGAACTGGCTGATTCTGATGCTCAGGTTATTATAGCCACCCAGGAATCACCGCCCGTGGGACCCCCCACCTCGGTGTCTAAATCCAATTGCCCCGGCCCTAAGTTAACTATTGTTTAGTCCACCTGTTCCATGACTTTGAGTCCCTTTCTTCAAACTGGAGTGAGTACAATTAGGGGAACCCCGTAGGGGGTCCAGAAAATAAATGGTACTCACCAACGGGGATCTTTCTACAGTTTGTCAGTTGGGACTATACAGGAATAAAACATGTGGACATCTGGGGGTTCTGTGAGGAGGAACTGGTCAGATTTGGTTGTTTATGGAGTGACAGTAGTCACACCCAAGCATTCTAGTCTAGCCCTGGTGCTCTGTCATCTTCACCAAGAAAGGGACTCTAAACACTTAAGTAAAATGCAACCTGGCTCTTCGCACTTGACCTCAGAGCTCATGAACTGTTTCCACTGTGAGTACAAAGTCACAGCATGCCTTGAGCTTTTTTTCTGATTGTGCCTCTTAAGAAAACAATACAGTCGAAATCCTCTCCTCTGTCTCAGTAGCTGAGAATAAACGCAATTATAAGATACAAAAGTCAGAGAATGTGTTCCTTGTGTCAGGTGTTCACTGGATCCAAAGAAAGGATGTAGATGTTGCTAGAGAAATGGGAAGACAAATGTCCTGGTCCTTTGGCCAGTATCATTTTCCTCTGATGGAGGAACGATGACAATGCTACATTTTCATTACATCCGTGACTTTTTTTTTTCTGTTGTAATGTTCTCTAGATCCAAAGGGCCAGATACTAAATGGCCACAGTCTGTTAGAGAAGCACACAGAAAAAGCAAAACATGTATAGGAATCCTAGATGAAATCCCCAGATGCAACGTGCCCTTCTGTGTATATGTATGAGTGAGTGAGTGTGTGTGTGTGTGTGTGTGTGTGCGCGCGCGTGCGCTCACACATCTACAGCTGTGTTCAGGGAGCAGAAAGGTGGAGGGCAGGACATGAATAAAATGGGAAATGCTGGGCATGATGGGAGCAAAGTATTTTAGATCATATGCCCAGAAGTGTATCTGGGGTACAAACCAAAGAGAGGTGCGGTACTCACCTTATTTGTTGCATCAATAAATTTGACTCCTTTATAAGAGACCGAAAGAATAATAGTGGGGACCTTCTTCATTTGCTCTGTAGACTTCTGAAATTAAAATTAGAAAGCTGTTAGAGCAGTTTGTGTTGCATGGCAACTGAAGCACATAATTTCTCTTCTTAAAAGATAAAAATGAGCCCAACTTAAAAACAACACACACACACACACGCACACATCAAACACACACCAAACACACTAATTTAAATGTATGTCTCTCTTCTCTTAGGCTCAGCCACAGTTTGGGCTTCTAAAGTGTCTGTCTTGCACTTGAGAATCTAAAAAGAGCTTGTTCTGCCACTTCCCGTGGGTGAAGGAAAACTCCTTTTTCCCTGACACCAAAGGGAGCAATGGAACAGCCCTGTCTCCCACTGCGATTTCAAGCAACCGTTCTTTGACTGGAGTTAAACTGTGTCAGAGTTAACTCCAAGGGTGAGTTTAGCATTAACAAAACATGTGCCACCACTCCCCCTTTCGCCCAGAGTCACTCTTTCTCCAAGGCACGATGTAGGTCTGAATCATGTAGTTAGAAGAGGGATTTAAGCACCTCATTGTGAATTTTTCTTGAACCTGGCCAAATCCCGAAGAGCAGACGAATTTGTCGCACCATCGCTGGTGACTGTGCAGGACAGAATACCCCCCTACCACAGCGAAGCCCTCCGGAACAGTCCATATTTTGAGCCACAGCAAAACCGGACAGTCCAGGTAACCTCCTTCGTCATTTAGAGCCGCTAGATTTCCTCAGGCTAAGTTCTTATGACAGATGTTCACACGGGCTTCACATGCTGCTAGTCTGCAGCTTTGGGAGTTTTATGCATGTGTGCAAACTTTCTCCACAATTTAGGATGTACCTTTTCTGTTTGGTTTGATCATTCATCACGGGTCTCCAATTGTCTGTGTCCTTCAGTCCCCACTATGGTTCCTCCTAATAATCACATTAAATAAACACTGAGAAGAACCTACCTGACAGTTAGCCTGATGGATTTTCCAGAGAAGACAGGTGGGAACAAAAGAGGAGAGAAAATACATAAGAAGGTGAGGAAACCATTTCAATAATTCACTGACAGCACAAAGTCCTAAGAAGGTAGAGGGAGAACAGGCTTTATGGGTAAACGCAGATGGAGCACAGCCTCTCTTGCAGGAGTGGCCGCGGGCTCTTCAGACCCCATCTCTCCCTTCTTGTCCCCTCATCACCGTTCACGGTGCCACACAGCCTTGTGCCTGACACACCACAAACTTCCACTGTGGGTGTTCCCCAACCACCTGTCTTATGGACAGTAAGGGAACTGGGAGAAAATATTACCCAATTTTCCATTTTTAAATTCTGAAATGTGACCAGAATTAAGGAAGCCTTTTAGTTGGATAGTGTGAATGGAACTCACTGAGCTTAAAAACAATATTACATCTTTCACGGATCAGTAAGAGTGTTACTATTTAGTATTTATTAAATGTTTCATATAATACAGAAAAAAAGCCTTTCTCCTGAACTGCTTTTTAACTAGTTTTAAAATTACCTGAACTTGCTAGTTTTCTTTTGTGGTTGCCAGAGATTTAAAGATTTTATTTATTTTTGTGTGAGAGAAAGAGCATAGGGGGTGCAGGGGGGGTCACAGAGGGAGAAGCAGACTCCCCACTGAACAGACAGCCCGAAGTGGGGCTCGATCCCAGGACCTTGACCTGAGCCAGAGGCAGACACTTAATAGACTGAGCCACCTAGGCACCCTGCCAAAGAAATTTAGACATTTTTATCTTTTTAATGCTTTATCCAAACAACTCTTAAAAGTGTACAACATAGGGGTACCTCAGTGGCTCAGTCAGTTGAGCCATTGTCTGCCTTCAGCTCAGGTCACGATACCGGAGTCAAGTCCCAGGCTCCAGCTGCCATCCCCGCTCCCCACCCCGCTCAGCAGGGAGTCTGCATCTCCTTCTTCTTCTCCCCAACCAACCTCCTCTCCCTCTTCCTCTCAAATAAATAAATAAATAAAATCTTTTTTAAAAAGTGTGCAAGATAAATCAAAGGTAAAGCTAGAAAAAATAACACTCAGTGTATGGATTTTAAGGCAAAATCATGGGCTGAGCTCTGCACAGGGGGAGAGCCACAGCCGGCATGGGCAGTGGCTTGGTGTGCTGAATGTGTGAGGAATTCTTTGCAAAGGTAACAATGGATTTCAACAAATTACCACGCTCATTTCTTGCCATGAATACATTCCATCAGACAGATCTAGCCATACCGTGAAGTAACATATAGCTAACATAAGATGAAAATATCAACATTGAGGATTAAGAAAAAAAACAAAAAAGGAAAAAGCAAAACCATTTGTTATCCATTCGGCAGCTGAGTGGTTATCGTAGGCATCCCACTGTGCTGGGAAAACTCTGAGTCTACTTCAGGGCATGTCAGACAGACCTCAAATTGTGTGCAAACTACAGTCTGTGGAAAGCGGCTGTCCCAAGGGCTGTGTTGAGCAGACTCGGAGCCTTGTGCCTGGGCTCAGAGGGAGAGAGGGTTGGGAAAGAGGTCTGTGCGGGACAGGGAGAGGAAGAGGCAGCACCGGAGGTACACGCTGCAAAGAGAAGCTGCAACACAAACGCTGATAAACGCACCAGCGACACGCAAGTGGGGCTTCCAGAGTACTGGGCAGAGAGGCTCACTTTGCAGGGGAGAGTGGGGCAAATCTTCATTACTCATTCAACAAGCACCATTCGCCTGCTGGGGCTGACTGGGCTGGCTTTTAAAGGATGGACAGGGATTTTCTAGGTGCCAAAAGAGGACGTTCTGGCAGAAGAATCCACATGGACATGAAATGAGAAATAATAGGGTGGGTTTGGGTAATTGGTGGAAGATGAGCTGGTGCAGTAGGTTTGGAAGCTTGTGACTTACTCTGCCAAGCCAGAATCCCCTGGAAGTGTTTAAGGAGGGGGTGGGTGGCAGAAAGACAACGTTGGTGATTGGATGCCCTGGAGCAGCTGAGGCTGGAGGGCCAGAGTCAGGAACGGGAGGTGCGAGCTCAACCGGGAGACCCTAAGCCCCCGAGCTGGAGCGGAAGCCATAGTCATGGAATAGATGAGGACTCGAGCGGCTCTGCTATCCATGTGCCGTGGAAGCCGCGAGAGCGAGAGGACGTCACAGATGAAGGGGCCATTCGCTGAGATAAGCGGGTACTACAGGGAACAGGCTTTTGCAGAAAACCCTAGCGCGCACGCTCAGTTCGATAATGGGGGGGGCGATGTCCCGCAGGAAATGAGAAATGCGAATCTGATCTAGAACCCCATCCGCATCGAGGGGGTGCCGCCTGAGGACATGGGAGCAGATGAGGTGGCTCGAGGAGTGAACAAGAAGAGCGCGAAACCTCAGACTCCAGGGGCAGATGGCAGAGAAGGTGCGAGCGGCGCCCGCGGCCACGAGGACCCACCGAGGAAAAGCCCGGGAAAAGAAGCCCAGCACAGGGGTGGCACACGTAGCGGCTGCTATTTTTATGGGGTCTTCTGAGTGAACTCCCTGGCTTTTGCAACTGAAAAAATGTGTTGCTGATTTTACGAAGAGCAGCTTGAGGACAGTGGTGTCCACAGAGGAAAGAACGTGGTGATTTGCGTGACAGATGCGAGGGCGCGGGAGCAGAGAGCTGGAACAACAGGGCGGCGGGGACGCGGGCTCTTCCGCTCCCAATGAGGGCATCAGTGGTGACTTCTGTCCCGACAGGAAGATTCTACATCGTATGTTCAGTGACATTGAACAAAGAAGAAAACCTAAAAGACAGTCATTTCTTTTTCTTTTGTGGGTGCCCAGGATCCCTGCTTTCCTAACTGGAGGCCATCCTAACCCTAACCGGGCTGCGGGCCGTGCCTGGCTGCGGGGGATGGGGTGGGGGGGGACACACATCCCAGTCGGGAGTCCAAACCGCACCTCCCTCCCGCTGAGCGCCTTGACAAGAAGATGAGGGACCCTGGCTGGCCACAGAGGCACTCGGCGGGCCTTCAATGACCTGCTCCTTCTTTAAGGCATTTATAATTCTATAAGAGATAAAAATCCGACCTCTTTCAGGGGATTTTCTGTTGGTGGACTTTGACAGAGCTTTCAAAGAGGTCTTTTCATATGTTATTTTAACCAAAGATGAAAACACATAGAAAGAAAGCAAATACACTGAGTCTTCTGGGGGAATAATTCCGGGGGAGGGGGGGCAAGAAATCCAATAAAACGCCCACTTCATTTTATGGAGGCTCTACAGATATCGAAAAGTGAGCAAGGGCTTCAGTCCAATCATTGGCAGCCCACATCCTATTGTCTCCACTTGCTCTTACGTGTTGCAGTTACGGTTTTCTTCTCCTTCCCAGGGACAGAGGCAGCTAGGCTGGACATCACTGGTCAAGTTACAAAGCAATTGCTCTTGGGCAATGCCAGTCACTATGATCTATCTGCAAGCTCTGCTGGGATTCTGAATAGTTAATACTCCCATATATGTACATATGTTAAAACATTCGAGCTTTATTTATTTGTATAAACAGAATTTTCTTCTTCAGTAAAATGCTCAGAGCAAATCTTATGCTATGGTTCTCTTTTCTTTCCATTTTTTTTTTCCCTATGCCACACTCTATGGAATTTCAGAGGCTTCTCCCAGTCCTCAAATTCTGCTCCCCACCCCCACCTTCAGTGCCAGCTTTACAGGAAAGATTGATTTATAATGAGGACCTCTGGATACCTTAGCAACTGAACACTCCCAGGATGCCCCAAATTAACTTAACCTTTATAGCATCTTGTTCTCCTGCTAAAAAAGCATTATAGTGATAGTCAATTGTATTTTGTTCACAATTCCCCCAAATAAGATTATCATCCTTTCATTGCTCCAAGAGAAACAATATTTAGTTATACAGGGATGCTACATTTCTGAAACCTAAACTAAAAGGCAACTTTTGAATCTTAACAGCAAAGCCAGCTTTACATTTAGCACTTGGGTTTATCTGTAAGCTTTACACAGACTAGGGATTCCATATCCCTTGTATCTGCAGGTGGGCGCCCAAGACACCATTCTTAACAGGTAAAGTAATTGAACACATCTACAACATTTTTTTTAAAAGAGGGATTTTTTGGATTCACCCAAGAAAGCAATACCATCTTTTGTTTTTTCCTTTTTATAAATTATGAATTGCTTGGAATCTTTGTAGCAAGTCAGAAATTGCCATTAGTGCTTTTGTTTTATCCTTCTAGCATGCACCGGAAAGAAACAGTTTCTCATTTTCTAATGCAGAATCAACAGTATGAGAATATCCTTTTGAGCTGCAGGGATGCTCTGGTCTCAGAGCATGACTTTCATAAGTGTGAGTGAGAGCAAAGAGGTTTACGACAGGGAGCACTTCAGTTGTGAGCTGTAATGTTGCGATTGAGTCTGGAGTGATGTTTATGTTCCTAATGAGAATCATTTGTGCCCGTAACCAGTACAAAGAGGAAACAGAGTGGGGCAGCCCATGGGGAGGATGTCATCGACCCTTCATTCTTACAATACTCTGCTCATTTCCAATGTATTTTAAACACAGACTGGGGAATACATCTCCGAATGGTCTACTGCCTTCTAACTTACATTTTTAACCCACACATGGCTACCCTGAGAATGCTTTCTAGTTAGATATTCAAGTGCTGAGTCATAACTATTAATTTTGCCATATAATATTTTCTTTAGTTCGTTTCAAAGCTTAATTATTGTATTCAGTTTCAGCAAGTAAATTAAAATAAGATCAAACAATTATGTTTGGTAGCCCTAAGTGACTTTCAAATGACGTAAAAAAATGTATAAAACCAGGAGTATCATATTTCGTATTCAGCAAAACTAGTTATACATTGTGGAGATTATAAGAGGTAGAGAGCAGACCACAGATCAGCCGTTTGAAATTCACTTTGGAACTCAGTTTCAGTGTCATTTTTCTGGGAAAACCTCGTGTGGCCCCTCCAGCCTGACACGATGGCTGTCTCTTGCTCCCCAGGC